AAGACTTGTGGACTTCAACTCCCAGAATTCTGGGAGTTGAAGTCCACAAGTCTTAAAGTTGCCAAGGTTGGACACCCCTGAATTATATTATTGTGAAACTTACATAATATATTATAATGTTTCAGTACAGAGGTATTTGTACAGTATTGACTAAGATTATTAATATTCTAATGTTTAGACAGCTATTGAAGATAAAAAGAAAAAGTCATATTATATCAATAATAATTATGGTTTAAAATGTCAATGTTGATGAGCATAGATCATTTGGCTTTTTCATCCAGAACTGAACATTGCATTAAAAAACTGCTGCAAAGTATTTGCTGTACAATAAAGATTTTGGTCTTAAGCTAATTATCTAGTATGAAGTTATCCATTGCATTGTTATTTAATATTGTTTTGCTTGTTGAAAAAGGAAGAATAAAGCAAATTTGTCAACAATTAAAATGCAAAAGAATAAAGTGAAATAAAAAAGTAAAAAAATAAGGTTATTTCATTTCTATCTTCCTCTTTTTTATGCTTTTGCTAATTTATAATATTCATAAACATTTGGGTTTCCTTAGAAGCCAGACTGCAAGTGATTATATTTGCCATGCTGTGTGATGTATGGTATATATGGGAACCATTCTTGCTTTATTTTTGGTTAAACGTCTTTTGGAAATATATACTGTTAATTTTGCCATTGTTGCATATTCTCCAAGTTTAAGTTCCCAATCAAATATTGTTGGGAATTGCATTTTTCTTCCAATGTTGGGCAAAGTTTACTTTCACTGCTGTGAGCATGCATCTCATTAAATTGAGGTGTTTTTTGTTTTCTAGAATTATACCTAGAAAGAAAAATTGAGGTTTCATTCAAATTTAAATTCCAAATTTTTCTGCAATGCATTATGTATATCTTTTCAATATGTATATCTTTTGCATTTTTGAATTTTTTTAGCATGTCCATCACCAGTGGTACAATGTTCTTTCTACTTCATGGCCCTTCCAACATTTATTACATCATGATTTGTCTAACTTGACCATTATTGATAGCATTATATTCCATTTGTAATAAATTTCCTACTAGTTTTCTTTTTAAGGTAACCTTGGAATAGATTTTATAGATTTAGTCCACAATACCTTATATTGTATAGTGTTGTGACTATTTCTTTGTGTCCATTTTAACCTAACCATTTTGTTTGTTTTCTCTCTGTCCATACAATTTTAAAGCCACTACAGAAGAGTGATGACTGATGATTCCATCAGCTGAAATTTAAGTCCTGCCCAGCATCTTCCTGCATGTGAAAAACTCCTGCAATTGGCATGCTGTCACTCCTATAAAGTAAACCAGACTGACAAGTCAACAATGTATAGAACTAAATACACTGTTATTAAACAGTAATAGCAACATAAACTTTTAGGTTTGAATGCATTACGACTTCTCTCTCTTTTATCATCATGTGATTTGGAGAAGGGAGCTGTTTAAACATTTTTGAAAATCTCTGTGATGGTATGAATTCAAGTCAAATTTATTTGATCTTTACCAAGAGAGTTTTCTCTGTTCATCAGAACCATTCTCTATATTCACTACTTATGCATAGTCCGATTATTAAATGCCCTGAATTTTCCTCCTTTTTCCTTTTTTATTTATTGTTTGTTGACTACTTGATGTTTTTTTATTAATTTATTGTTTTTGAAATTATGACCTGGTCAATTGTTTGAACCAGTGGTGGGTTTCAAATTTTTTTTACTACCGGTTCTATGGGCATGGCTTATTTAGTGATCATGTGACTGGGTGGGTGTGCTGGGTGGTCATGTGATTGAGTGGGAGTGGCCAACTTGATATCACTCAACTCAAGGGGTACCTTGCCTGGCCTCCCCTCTCCTCAGAGATACAATTTCCCTCTCTATTTATTTACTACTACTGAACATCCAAAATACACTATTTAATCCTATGTATATATGCCATATGTGTACATACATATTACATGGTATAGTGTGTGTACAGGACACACAAAGATACACTATAAAAGATACTATACACACACACACACACACACACACACACAAAACCACACACAGAGCTCTTCTAAAACTATATACATTCAACCTCACTGTGTTTGGAAAAACACACCCATAGTCCACTTTCTGCCACACATTTAACTATAACCTCTGTACATTAGAACATTGCACATGCCTTCAGATTTACTTCCCTAGCCTGCATATGACCGTTAGACCCAGGAAATGTCATAGATTGAGAAAAATATGGTGAAACTCACTTAATAATGCTCTTGCTTTAGCAACCAAAATTTTGGGCTCAGTTGTGGTCATAAGTGATGGACTATCTCTGCTTTTCTCTGCATGGCAGCCTTGGTCCTAATAAACTCCTCTGGCAATTTTCCTCTCTGTTAGAGGCACTGTAAGGCCTGGCACTATGCTTAAGCCAAAAATGAACCAAAACAAAGACTTAAACTTGCAAATCAAAGAAAGCAGACTTTTATTCTTTGATCAAAATTAAAGATCTGGAAAGAAGTTTCTAGCACATCACAAGAGATATGGGAGGAAAATTCTACAAAATACAGAAAAATGCCATGTACCTTTAAGATTCTTACAAGTGGAGTAACTGCATTGTAAAACTCTCTTAGATTTACATCTTTCCTGCAAAAGACAAATCTCTCCCTATCTCTTCTCCTATTGTCCATCTAATTGATCAAAATTGACCATGTAAGGAGACTATTAACAGCATACTTCAAAGGTGTGTATTCCTCTGGATGGAGGTAGTTACATTCCCAGAGAGGTACATTTCATTCCCAGGGGTGATGCTGCGGTGAAATGTATCAATCCATGAAAACAGATGGATTCAGATTGATTTAGATGGGACAATCATGTGTCTTAATAGGAGAGGTGTGTGTTTATAATTGTTTTACAACAAGTGAAAGGTTAAAGAAATGTTTTTTACAACAGCGAGATAACAAATGCCTATAGAGTAGCTCTCTACTTAATGCTGTAATATATTTTACTATATTTCTTTATTTATTAATGTCCCCTTCAGCACCAAAATAATCCAAATTCCAGATGATATAAGATCTCCTGCTGGATTAGGGGGTTGGAATAGATGGCCTCCAAGGTTCCTTCTATGCTGCTCCATGATTCTGTAAGGATCTCCTATGGTGCAGGGGGTTGGACTAGAACAGGGGTCTTCAAACTTGACAGCTTTAAGACTTGTGAACTTCAACTCCCAGAATTCCTCCTCCAGTCATATTAGCTCAGGAATTTTGGGAGTTGAAGTCCCCAAGTCTTAAAATTGCAAACTTTGAAAACCCTTGGACTAGAAGAAGATTGCTTTCAGCCCTAGATCCCTGTCCTATTTCAAAGAATCTTCTGAAGCCAGGGTTTGTGTCCTTCCTTCCTCTCCTTTCCCCCCCTCCCTCCCTCCTTCCATTTATCTATCCATCCATTCATCCATATATCTCATTTACTTTCTCCTCCCTCCCTCCTTCCTTCCTTTCTTTCTTTTTATCCCTTCCTTCTATTCTGTCTTTCTTTGTCTATCTCTTTCTTTCTCCCTTTTTCTTTCTTTCCCGTTTCTTTCTTTTCTTTCTTGTCTCTTCCTTCTCTCTCTTTCTCTCTCTCTCTCCCCTTCCCTCTCTTCTTATAAAGCTAGGAGAGGAGACCCACCTGAAACAAACACACCCACAGAGACTTTCAAGCACCCAGCAGCATCGTGGTTCTTCCTGGCCAGTCTCCTGTCCCACGTTTCCCAGAAATGGTTTCCGGGCCCAACAAAGGGGCCGCCCCTTTGAGACTTCCAAACACTTCCTCCCTCCCACTTTTGGGGAAAGGAAAGGGCTGAGAACTTCAAGGGAGTTGTGTGCTGTTGCGCCCCCTCCCCCTCTCCCACCAGCAGCTCTGGGCTAGGGAGCAATTTGGTTTTTCTGACTGCCTAAAATGTTACCTTGCTCCTGCAGCTGATGGCAAGGGAAAAGCAAGCCAGTCAGGTCAGAGCTATCACCACCCAGCTCCCTACCAGCCCACATCTCATCCCCTGCCCAGATTCTCCAGCAGCTTTGGGGCTCGCCTGCTGGGAGGCACAGGGAGGGGGTAACCAGGAAGCACGAGGCTACTCGGCCTGCATCACCCAGGGCAGCCACCCCACTCTCGCCAAACAAGTGTTTTGGCAGCTTCATTTGTTCAACTTCTATCTATCCCACCATTAGGTACCACAAAAAAAGGAGGAGGTTAATATGGCCGACAAGAAACAAGAGCAGTGGGGAAGATGCAAGAAGCAAAGCCAGAAAGTGAAGCCAGGTCCACACTCCCACAAAAAAGCCCCTGGAATATCTGTGCTGGTGAAGCTTCACTGCCTTTTGGGCCCTCCTCTGGACTGCTGCCTGCTTGACCACCACCCTGCCTTGGGTCCCACATGAGCCCGTGACAAGGAGACATGCCGCTTTCAGGCTGGCAGATGGGCAAGCAGACGACCCTCAGGGGAGGCATTTTCTCTCAGGCCTCCCCATATGGAAGACCCCATGGAAGCCAAAGCTGGGCCTGAAAGGCAGTCTCACATCATCATGTCTGCCCCCCAGGCAGCCCTTTGGCTGATCACAGCAAACCCGGTGTAGATCTTCCTTCCCCACCATCAGCATTAGGGCTTCCTCACAGCATTCTCAAAGTGGCTGCCTGCTCTCACCCAAAGCACATTGGTAGGTGGGAGAGGAAGGGGCGAGGCAGGCAGCATAGCATCATGTGCCCTGGTTGCCAGCTGAGCCCGGGAAAAGTGGAGGTCCCTGACAAGATTCGGGAATGGTGGGGGGACTAGCATGACTCGCAGGCTTACCTGTGAGCAGCAGGCAGAGCAGGGCTGCTCAGTGGAGGTTCAGGAACCACGTGGGAAGGCTAGAATGCCACGAGGATCCAGCATGCCTCATAGGAGGGGAGGAGTGACTGGGCAGGGCAAGAGGCAAGTGTTGGGTGAGCCAAGTAAGAGAGCATTGGGCGGGTAGGGCAAGCAACTGAGCAGTGATTGGGTGACTATGTTGAAGGTATGGCCAGCCAGAAGCAAGTACTGGTTCAGCGACCCATGCCAAATTTTTCCTACCAGTTCGCCCGATTAGTTGTAAACCAGCTGAATACAACCACTAGTTTGAACTCTTGATCTTTAAGTGGCAACATCGTTACAAAGTTGGTCATCTGATTTGTATAGTTCCTGAACAAATAGCAATTGCACTTAGACTAATGTACTGCTGTACAGAGCCAGCACATTACCACAAACAATCTGGTTCCTCATTTTACCAAGCTTGAAAGGGTGGAAAGTTGAGTAAACCTTGAGCTGATCAAACTCCTGGCAGTGGGCAGAATTAACCTGCAATGCTGCATTCTAACCATTGTGCCATCACAGCTATCAAAATGCTATCAAATATATATGAAAGGTTTTAATTTCAAATTAGATGAAAGCTGAGATAGATACATCAGTTTCAGGGCTTTCTGTCAAAAAATCTCAACTCTTTTTTTTATTTTAACTGGCTGCAAAAGTCAAGATTCTGGATTTCCTCCTACCAAAAGATTATAGGATTGGAGAAAGATTATAAGATTGGTTTGAAGGCAATAATCTGACAAAAGACAGACAAAACCTATTGTATCACAAGTTTACCAACCTGGAACATGTAATTTCAGGATACTTCCATCTTTGGGCATCAATGTATCATACAATGCCCACATACAACTTCTGGAAGCAGGTTAAAAGGGAAAACATTTCTTCCAGAATAAACCACTCATTCAGCTGCTGGAACTTGGTATTCAATGAAATACAAGTGGCTGTGTATAGATGTAACTTCTTGAAATAGATAGAGAGCCATCCACCTTTTGGGACAAGCTTTACCTCATGGAAGTCTTATCATTATAAGTATCTATTTGAAATCTCATTTAACATGTTTCTTTAGAAAGAGATAAATAATGTTTTTCATGAAGCATGAAATACCTTTGTTTCAAGTTGAATAGCAGAGTAAAATATTCAAGCTATTCTATTACAATTGATGTCATGTAATTGATGAAAGATGGCCTTCAACAAAAGAGAACTCACTACAAATTCTTACTTAGTCATTAAACTAAGAGGGTGGCCTTGGAGCAAACTATTAACACTAATTCTGACTAACTTCACAATTTATTGTGAAGGGAGAAAAAAAAATGGAATAACCCCATGTACATTGCCTTGAGCACCTTGAAACTAGATGGGATAATATGAGACAATAAATAACATTCCACTAAAATTCAATTAAAATCCAGTTAAAGACTTTGGCTCAATGAAATCCCTAGAAACTAAAAAAAAATTAACATTTCTTAAAAAATGCTCAATAGGCTTGATGAGTCCCTGTGGAGAAGAGAATTCCACGTTTATGAAATAAGCCAAATTATGAATAGATGCATTGATGAAAGGGGGCTCTGAAATGACTAGAAATTGCAGCTGATCAGAGGGGGGTAGTGAGTGTATGCTCCTCTTGATTGTTGAGTGACCACCTCATTTCTTTTGGAGTAAATTGGCGCAATTTGCAATGAAGTGAAAATTAATGCAAGGGACATTTTTGGGTGGTGCAATATCTAAATCATATTCATGTTTAAATATCTAACCTAAAATAGATCCTACATTTTCTCCATTCCTGGAATCAAATTTATAACTGATTTAGTTTCTCTAGAATACCTGGAAAAAAAGAATAAATTTGTTAAAAATAGGATTCTATACCCAAAGGTTCCTTCTCAGTTTCTTTTTAATTAAGCATAGAAGCTATTTTTCTTCTGCTTGCCCAGTGAATTCCCTCTTCTAACTTCTATTTCCCATTTGCACTTAATATATATTAGTCCAATTTCAGCCCCAAAGCCAAGGTCACAAACGTCTTGAACAATGTATAGCTTTCACTTATTGCCCATTTGGTGAAATAGTTTTGCTTTCAGACTCTTAAGCTATTTGTTTTTAATTAACATTATTATAAAGCAAGATTTATTTTACTTTGGATTTTTTGTGATTGCAATTACAGGTAGTCCTTATCTTACAATCATTGATTAAGCAACTGCTCAAAGTTACAACAGCATTGAAAAAAGTGATTGTAACAGATTCTTGAATTTACAACTGTTGAAGTATCCACATGTTCACATGATCAAAATTTAGGCATATGGTAATCAGCATGTATTTACAATGGTTGCAGTAACCTGGGGTCATGGGATTGCTATTTGCAACCCTCCCAACCAGTTACAAATAATAAAGTCACTGGGGAAGCCAGATTCACTTAAAGATTGCATGATCAACAACTGTAGTGATTCACCTAACAACGGTGGCAAAAAAACATCATAAAATTGAGCCTGGCTTAGTTAACAACCAACTTGCTTAGCAATGGAAATTCTGGTCACAATTGTGCTTGAAAGTCAAAGATCAACTGTACTTTATTAGACAAAAAAAAAATCACTGATACTGTTAACTATCTGGGTAATGAAATGTCTGCAAGAAAACAACCAAAGTCAGAGAACACCCTCAGACAAAAATTTACATTCAATTTATTAGTAATTTTGCTTCATAACCGACATTAAAAAATATCAGGAGTAAGTGCTGAAATCCAAAATGGATTGCACATATCTTTGCATTCTCATCCCACATCACCATTGGAGTTAGTAAAATTTATTTTTGTAACAGAAGAAAAAATACACTGCTCAAAAAAATAAAGGGAACACAAAAATAAGACATCCTAGATCTGAATGAATGAAATATTCTTATTAAATACTTTGTTCATTACATAGTTGCATGTGCTGACAACAACATCACACAAAAATTATCAATGGAAATCAAATTTAGCTACCCATGGAGGCCTGGATTTGGAGTTACACTCAAAATTAAAGTGAAAAAAAAAAAACCACTACAGGATGAT